GGGTGGTAGATTCTCTTATTTCTGCTCTTGTTCCCTCTCTAGAGAACTTGGATACCTGAGATCTAGGCTGAACTATGAGGGCTGGTATATGGTGGAGTTACATATCGAAGGAGTGGCTTGTTGTATTTGGTACTCTAGGAACAGCATTTTGCCTGTGGTAACTGTAGTTAGTGGTGGCTACTTTCTTTTGAAAAGCATTAGTTGGTCTCTTTGAAGTCTTTTTTTTTTTGAGGAAGATTGGCCCTGAGCTAACATTTGTTGCCAATCTTCCTCTTTTTGCTTGAGGTAGATTGTCCCTGAGCTAACATCTGTACCAGTGTTCCTCTATTTTGTATGTGAGATGCTGCCACAGCATGACTTGATGAGTGGTGTGTAGGTCTGTGCCCAGGATCTGAACCCGCAAACCCTGGGCTGCAGAAGTGGAGCACATGAACTTAACCACTATGCAACCAGTCCGGCCCCTAGTTGGTCTCTGTTGACATTTACTCTATATTAGATGTTGATTTCCATTGACTGTCCTCCCATAGTACTTTTATTTCAAATTACATAACCTGTCCTAAGACAACTTTCTTACTTTGAAGGTTCCATCACATAGCTTCTAGTCATTTAAATGTAGAACATGAATGCACTGTTTCCCCATGCAACTCAAATTTTGCAAGTTGACCCCAAAAGCTTTGGAGTAGAGAGTAGATATAAAAAATTTAGTATGTTCTGTTCAGCCTTTCTTTTTTTCCTTATCCATTTGCAGAGCAAGTAGCTTTGTCTCCTACTATTTCCTTCCTTCCTTACTTTAGGGCAGAGGTTATCAACCTAAGTCCTGCCTAGCTGCCTGTTTTTGTATGGCCCGCAGGCACCACTCTCAGTGGATTAGTACTGCAAGACTTGGAGACCTAGCTGGGGTGTTCCCCTCTGCTGTATCCTTCCCTTTTTTCTGGCACCTGGCTCTCTGGCCAGTGGCTATGCCTCACTGCTGCAGTGGGCTTGCTCTGCTGCCCCCTACACATTGGGCACCCCACTTGGCAATGGCTTGGCACTGAATGGTAGAATCTCAGGCTGGGAATTGGTGACTCAGCAAGTTGCCTTGTCTCCAGCCAGTTGTGCCAGCTGCCCAAGTTGAGATGGCTAGGCTCTCTGGGAGAAGAGAAGGGCGTGGTGTCACTGGGGCAGAGAGTGAAAGTGACTGTTAGCCACTACCCACCCCTTCCCCTGGGCCCCTCTCCACCAGACTGGATACTCTTTTTTGGAGAATGTCTCCAGCTAATGGCAGTTGGACAACTGTATCTCGTGTGCCTACCATCTGAGATGGCCCAACCCGGGTAAAAAGAGTACAGGGAAGGGCAGGAGTTTTCTCTCATGTTATATAAGACCTACATATTATCCTTGATTTTGCCTTTTGCTTGGCAAAGCCTAGAATAGCCCTTTTCAGAACAAGTTTGTCAATGCCTGCTCAATAGCCATATCGGCCTCCTTGCTGTGCTGTGCACCCCCTTAGGCACACTGTTGCCTCAGGCCCTTGGTACTTGCTATTCTCTCCTTATGGGCACGTTTTTTGGTAGCTCCTGTTCATTCTCAAAACAGAGAATCTTAGGTTTTACTCTTCAGAGATAAGAAAAAAGTTGCTTTTAAAAACTTTGCATTTTAGTGATTAATTTGTTTGGTACTAGCAGTAACAGAGGGAGCAAACAGACTCTGAAACTTAGACTCCTTTGAGAGAAAAGACGTTAAACGTTATTCCACAAATAAATATATTACAGACTGTTATAAGTTCTATGACGTAAAAGTTCAGAGGCCTAAGAGATTATAAATGGGGAGGGGAACTAATTTAAAAAAGGAGTTAGATTGACTGCCCTTATCAATTCTGCCACCACCATGGACCTCCTTGGTCCATGCTACCATTATCTCTTGACTGGATTACTGCAATAGTTTCCTGACTGATCTCTCTGCTTCTACCCTTGCACCCCTGCAAGTCAGTTTTCTGCATAGCAGCCATGGTGACTCTGTGAAAATAGATTAGCTTGTGTTACTCTTTTGTCCAAACCTCTGATGGTTTCCCCTCTTACTCTGTACAGTAGAAGCCAAAAGTCTTAACAGTTGTACTCAAGACATCATTACTTCTTTGATTTCATCTCCTACTGTTTTCATCTGTGCTTGCTCTATGGCCATATTGACCTCCTTGCCATGGCAGGGATATTTTCAGGCATACTCTTGTCTTAGCTTCTTGGCATTTGCTCTTCACTTGACTGGTAGTACTTTTCTCACCCCATCACCTTCTTCACGCCTTCTCTATTATTCATGATGTTTTAAATTTTTTTATTTTTTACTTTTATATAGTCCAATGACCATGTTGTTTAAAACTACAGTCTTCTCACCTCACCCCATACACATGCCTTATCCCTGTCACCTCTTTGTTTTTCTCCATTGCACTTATCGCTATCTACTATGTTTTTACTTATTTATTTTGCTTCCCCCTCTAAAAGTAAGCTTTATAAGGGCACAAATTTTTAAATGTTTATTTACTGCTGAATTCTTGGTGCATAGTAAACTCTTAGTATATATTTGTTCAATGAATGAATGAAGAAAGGCTTCTTTGTTGACATGTCCACCTAGACAAGACAAGTGGGAAATTGTGATGGGAAAAGTTTCCACGTACAGAGAAAGAAATGGGTGAAGGCCCTGAGTCAGAAGAGAGCATAAAGTTTAGTGACTTGAATGTGTAGTGAATATTCTGAGATGAGGCTGGAGAGTTGAATGATGGGCAGGTAATGCCAGACTTTGTCAAATTTTTGGATGGAATTTTAGGTATAATGGAAATTCATTAAAGGGTTTGAGCACTTAATACTTTAGAATACTTTTGCTAAGTACAAGAATACTCTCCTGTGTAACCACAGTACAACTTCCAAAATCAGGAAGTTAACATTGATTAATATTACCATTTAATCTATAGAATTCATTCACATTTTGCCAATTCTCCCAGTAGTGTTGTTTACAGGTCCAGGATCTAATCCAGGATCCTGTGTTGTATTTGTCTCTTTAGTCTCCTTCAATCTGGAACAGTTTTTCTTTGTCTTTCACGACCTTGACATTTTTGAAGAGTACAGGCTAGTTACTTTGTAGAATGTCCCTCAATAAGGGTTAGTCTCATGTTTTCTCATGATTTCTGCATTTTTGGGCAGTAGTTTCACCAAAGTGTTGCTGTGTTCTTTTTAGTGCATATCAGGAAGAACATGATGTTGATTTGTCCCATTGCTGGTAATGTTTAACTTTTATCGCTTGGTTAAGATGGTGTCTGCCAGGTTACTTGACCATGCAATTAATAAGTACTACTTAGTATTTTGTGGGGAGACACTTTGAGATTTTGTAATATCCTCTTTCCATCCAATTTTCATATTTTAGCATCCATTGATGAATCTTACCTGAATCAGACATTATGCTTTAAAAGTTGGCAAATGGTGATTTTTCTAACTCCATTTCTTCTAGATTTATTAGTTGGCATTGTACAGTAGCGTAGAGCTTTCTGTCCCTGTTCACCTATTTATTTATTTTATTTACTTCAGAATGGTGTTCTTATTTTCCTCAATGGGTTTTGATTTTTTGTTTATTTCATTTAAATTGTTGTGGACTTGGCTAGTGGGAGCCCCTTAAAGCTAGTTCCTGTGTCCTTTTTTTTTGTGAGGAAGATCAGCCCTGAGCTAACATCCGATGCCAATCCTCCTCTTTTTCCCGAGGAAGATTGGTCGTGGGCTAACATTGGTGCCCATCTTCCTCTACTTTATATGGGACACCGCCATAGCATGGCTTGACAAGCGGTGCGTCGGTGCGTGCCCGCGTCCGAACCTGTGAACCCTTGGGCCCCCGAAGCGGAGCGTGTGCACTTAACCACTACGCCACCCGGCCAGCCCAGTGTGTGCTGTCCTTTTATGTCCTTTTGACATGTCTTGATCATTTATTGAGAACTTTCTTGACTTTCTGGCATAGGAAGATGTTTTATACCTGTTTTAGTGTCTCTCCACTATGTTAAAAAATGAGTTAACACTGTTACCTCCAATTCCAATCCAAGGCCACAGACTTTATTCTAACCTTCTCTCTTCCCATATTTATGCCTCCTTTCTCTGATAATTAGAAACCTGGCTCCCATTATCTTCAGTGTATTTACTTAATTGCTCAATTCTTCCTGTTTGTAAGCAACCTCGTGACCATGTCAGCCCAAAACTTCGTCTCAGACATATTGCCCCTCCTCCTGAAAACTTGGCCTCAGAAATAATCATTGAAAGACAGCGCTGTTGAAGGGGGGCGGGTAGTGGGGCAGAGGCCGGGAGGTAATAAGGGAAAGAGGAAAGACTAGAGGCCTATTAGAAAGCTTGGCCCTGGACACCGCCCAGCCCCCCTTGCTAGGTCAAAGGTCAACCTGATGATGAGGAAGACGGCTTAATGTTTGATGATCATTTTGGCTGCTGTGTGGAGTATAGATCAAAAAGAATGAAGAAGGAGAAAAGGAGACAGGGAGATTGGCTAGGAAACTTTTGGATTAATCTGCTTTAAAGGGAGGGTGGTAAAACTGTGTGGCAGTGGTGGAGATGGACAGAAGTGGACATACTCAAAAAATATTTGAAAGTTGGTAACCTCATTTTAATCAGCAGCTTACCAGAGATACTAATTGCCCAATGGATATAAACACTTATCTTAATAAGAAGTAGTATTGTAAGAAATACGTTGGTTTCCTGGGCAAATGTTAGTTTGCTTTTAGCCAATAATAGTTGATAAATATTTTTCTTTGGTGGTGAATATGAATATTTTGTTCACAGTTTTTTCATTGCATGCATTTTAGCTCCTGGTTTACACATTAAAAGACTACATTCATTAACTTTAAAATGGCCAATTGAATTTGATTTGAGGGCCACTCAAAATAAGCATGAATATTTAGTATACTCTTAAACCAGTTGTATTTACATAAATGTGTGTAATATGTAACTGATAATTTTTAATTTTGCTCTGTTTTTTAGATATTATGATCAGATCTGTTCCATTGAACCCAAATTCCCATTTTCTGAAAATCAGGTAAGTCATTAATTTTAATTTGTTTTAAAGTTTTATGATAATGGAAAATATACCTATTTCCTCCCACCTGTGGTATCGTTTTATTAACATAAATTGGTGCCCCTTCACTACGTTTAGGTATTTGAGACTTTTTCATACAACTTAGAAGCTTTTTAAGCGCATCTGATATGAATCTATGTCCTTTTGAAGAGACTCCTGGAATTCTGTTCATGTCATTCCTCAGTCACTTCTGGGCTCACGTAGAACAGTAGACTAAAATTTGTTTTCCTGCATTTTCTATCAGTAAGATCTATTGACTGATTAATATAATCTACGGTGTACTTCCCTTTGGCTTTTACAGAATTAAGAAGGAAACTGTATAATTCAGGAAGTATTAGTCTCAGTTTATGTGCTTTAAAAATTGTTGGCACAAATATTTGCATAAAAGTTGCAAATGCTGTTGTGATTAGATGTTATACTGTAAGAATGTCAACTTTTTCTTAAAGGCTAGATATTGAAAATGCTGATGATTTCTTACAGTTTTATTTGGGAGACTTGTTAAAAATTTTTTATTTGTGTGACATGTCTCAATTTTAAAATAGTTTGTGAAGAATACTTTAAACATTCTTGTACTAAAGTTTTATAGGTGAAATAATATGTTGAGATTTGCTTTAAGATACTCCAGGAAAAAGAGTATGTGTGCGTGGAGGAGTGCAGGGAAAGTGGGAGGGTAGATGAACCAAAAAGGGCAAAAGGCTAAAATTGGTGATGGGTATATGGGGGGTTCATTATGTTATTCTCTCTGGTTTTGTGTATATTGAAAATTTTTCTGATCCAGAGTTAAAACATTTCTGTAATGGATTGCAATACATTAATTTAAAAGAGGCGAAGTTCTTTTTAACCTTCACATGTGGAATATTTTAGAAGGAGAGTGACATGCAGTTTTTTTATGAAGTAGATTTTTAGTCATGTATAACATATATACAGAAAGGTGAACATATGTGTATTATTTGAATCTTCAAAAGTGAGTATACAAGTATAACCACCACCCAAATCAAGAAATAAAATATTGTCTCATCCCATCCCCTAAAGGTAACCATTCTCCTACTTTTGTCATCATGGAAAAGTTCTTAATTTTATCTTCTGGGAAACCTGTAGTACTTCGTTGCCTTTGCTTCTCTTGGTTTATTTGACAGTCATTTATTAAGTACCTGTGCTGTTCAAGCTGTTGTGTGTTTGTAAAGATGAGTAAGATAGTGTTTTCTGGAGAAGATGATATATATACAGTTACTGAGGCAGAATGACCATTTGAAATATCCTAGTACCAGGATTTTAATTTAAAAAAAGAAAATTTTATGCTCCAGGAAAAGGAAAAGCAGTTGGTCAGTTAGAGAAGATAATGTTTTAGACAGTAAGTTGAAGCGTTTGTCCTTTTCCTCATTGTGGATTTTTCTTTGAAAGAGACTTAATATTTAATGAGATCCAGGAAGGTAACATAATTTTCTGTTTTCTCTCTTTCTGACAAGATCTGCTTGACATTTACCTGGAAGGATGCTTTTGATAAAGGATCACTTTTTGGAGGATCTGTAAAGTTGGGTATGTAATTTCTTTATAAAAATGATAGGAGGGGCCAGCCTGGTGGCACAAGCGGTTAAGTGCGCGTGCTCCGCTGTGGTGGCCCGGGGTTCGCCGGTTTGGATCCTGGGCGTGCACCGATGCACTGTTTGTCAAGCCATGCTGTGGCGGTGTCCCATATAAAGTGGAGGAAGATGGGCATGGATGTTAGCCCAGGGCCAGTCTTCCCAACAAAAAAAAAAAAAAAAAGAGGAGGATTGGCAGATGTTAGCTCAGGGCTGATCTTCCTCAAAAAGAAAAAAAGAAAACTTGGTCTAAACACTCTGTATTGTTTTAGGTTTTTAAAATTGCTCTCCTAATGACTTTGTAAATAATAAAGAATTTTTACATTTCATTTTCTTTTTAACTTCAACGTTTAGTGCACTTTCCAAATATTTGTGGAGAGCCTATGCCTTGCCAGGCACTGTTCTAGTTATAAAAATGAATAAGACAGTTATACTCAGTCTAGTTGGGAAGACAGTTGATCATTCTAAAATACAGTAGGTAGTATATCAGTCTGCGAACAAACTTATGGGAGCATAGATGAGGAAGAAGTTATTTCTGCCTGTTGAAAGCAAGTAATGTTTGAATTAGGCCTGAAGGATGAATTTGTTTTTTCCAGGTAGAAAATAACGTTATAGGTAGAACATTATAACCAAAGGTGAGAAAAGTGAAGGCTTTTTGATCTACCAGCTCATCAAGTTAATTTCTCTGCATTAATTTTCCATCTGTGAAGCAGGGAATAGTACTGTGGATTAAATGAGTGAATATATGTAAAGTCCTTAGAACAGTGCTTAAATATTAGCTGCAATGAATAATATTAATATTATATATAACTATAATATATATAGTGTGTATGCATTATACAATATATAGTATATAATTTTACATAACAATATCATAAAGTATAAATTATATATAATACATATTAATATAATTATTGTTAAGACTTGAAACCATAGGTTGAATTGGGGATTATGGAGGGTGAAGACATTGGAAGTAGATTATGAAGAGTTGTAAATATGTTATGAATTTGTACTTTTCCCTTTCGTATGTTAATAGCTAACATTTATTGAGTACTTATTTCACTCAGGGACTGTGGAAGGGGCTTTATACATATTATCTTACTGAATTCCCCAATAACCCGATGAGGAAAGGCACTGTTATTACCAGTTGAGCCAACTGGTTTAGAAACATTAAGTGACTTTCTGAGATCGTATGGCAAGGATTTAATGAAGTTGGATATGACTCCAGAAAGCCTAACTGTAGAGACTAGAGAGAAACAGACCAGTTAGGAGACTGATGAGAGATGATGAGATTAGACAAGGTAGTATATGTGGGTCAGAGGAAAAGGATGGATTTAAGAGACATTTCAGGTGAAACTGACTGGATCTGCTGACTGTCAGAAGGAAGAGTAGGAGTTGAGGGTTGACTCTAAGATTTATAACTTGGTTTGACCTGTTGAATATTTTATTCCTTTCAATAGACAGGTTGAGTTTGACTTTTCTGTGTTATGTCTGGTTAGAGATTTCTCTTTGGCATTTGGAAATAATGGATTTAAAGCTCAAAAGATGTAGAGACATAGATTTGGGAAAAGTTATCGTTAATGATAATGAATTTATCTACTAGACTATAGATTAGGAAAAGTGTGAAAGCCAGAGCTAGGGAATATAATATTCAGGGGAAATAGAGGAAGAGGTTCTTGGGAATGAGGTTGAGAAAGCTTTCAGGATCTTGGAGGAACCAGGGATAAATAGAGACGTGGAATTGAATGCCAGAAGAATTTCAAAAATAATGTAATCCAGTGGTTCCTGAGCCAGGCCGCATGTTAGAATTACCTGGGGAAAATATTAAAAGATACAGATGTATCTTTAAAGATAAAGATACAGAATGCCAGATGTGATAAGAGGAAATTTCAGGGTAGGAAATTTCAGGGATACTAATACTGGAATTAGGATTTTTGAAAATACCTCCAAGTGACTCTAATAGTCATTCAAGTTGGAACATCATGGACAGTCACTGTGGCAGAGGTCAAGTCTTGTAAGGTTGGGGAAGTCACTGAATTTGGCAATGAAGGAAGTTTTACTAGGGCCATGCCAAAGAAGCCATATTGCATCAGGTTGAGGGATGGACCAGAATGAGGGAGACAGCAAATGTGGGTTGTTTGTTTCAGAAAAATTACAGTAAAGATTTGGGGACAAAGGGGGCATTATGCTGAGAGGGAGGCAAAGTCAAGAAAAGGGTTTTTAGCGCTGTTGTGACAAGCAAATTGGTAGGCTGAGAATAAGGAGCAGATGTAGGGGAACTAGGAGATAGTCACATGAGATAGTTTGAGTGATGAACCAAGTTCCTGGAAGAAGTGGGAAGCAAAAAAGTTAAGAGCATAAATAAAGCAGAAGGTAGTTCATCAAGGCATTTCTAGTGGCAAATATTGGGAATTAGATGTCCTTCAGTAATGTCTTGGTTAAATAAAGCATGGGCTACTCGTTCATTAGAATACTGTGTAATTTTAGAATACAAAGAATGATAATGCAAATATATATTTGTTGACATGTGAAGCTATGTCCAGGGATATTGAATAAAAGGCCTGTTATAGGTCAGAGCTGCTGCACTGTACAACTCAAGGGGCTCTAGAATTGGTCTCCTTGGAACACCATTCATGTAGAACCCAGAGTGATTGCATCTCCCTGGAGTTGTGCATTCCAGGCAATCTGAGTATGGTATAGTATCCAATTTGTGAAAAATTGTGTGTGTGAACATATGTGTAGTTATTTGTGTAGATATTCACCAAAAAATTAACAATGGGCAACTCTAGAAGGTAGCATACTGGGTGATTTTTAATTCATTTTCTTTTGTACTTTTTTAACAATTGTTTGAATTTTAGAAAACCTTTTTATTTGTAATCAAGCTATTTTAATTGTGAAAAGCTTAGTGAAAAAGAAGAGCTCAGGTAAAAAACAAGAATGGAGTTGAATATTAAGAAAAAAGAGCTCTTTAAATTTTATTTTTATTTATTTTATTTTATTTTATTTATTTATTTATTTATTTATTTATTTATTTTTTTGTGAGGAAGGTCAACCCTGAGCTAACATCCATGCTAATCCTCCTCTTTTTGCCGAGGAAGACTGGCCCTGAGCTAACATCTATTGCCAATCCTCCTCCTTTTTTTTCCCCAAAGCCCCAGTAGATAGTTGTATGTCATAGTTGCACATCCTTCTAGTTGCTGTATGTGGGACGCGGCCTCAGCATGGCCGGAGAATTGGTGTGTCGGTGCGCGCCTGGGATCCGAACCCAGGCTGCCAGTAGCGGAGCGTGCGCACCCAACCGCTAAGCCACGGGGCTGGCCCCAAGAGCTCTTTGAAGAAAGGAGAATTGAATATTTGTTTGAAAAGACCCTGATTTAAGTTTAGGTGTGATAGAAGAAATAATAAAAGAAAAAAGAAAAGATTTAATTACAAGAAAACGTTTTCATAAAATCTCTTATTCACGAGAAATTGTCAAAATAAAATGACACACTACAGCCTGGGATGATAATGTTTATGGGAAATATAATAGACCGGGATATGTATCTTGTATATAAGAAGTTTACTTTTATCTGTTGTTTGGAATATATTTCATTCTTCTTGAAGCCCACTGACTTCTGTCATATAGCGGACGAGTTGCTTCATAGTTAGACTGTGACTTTCTTGTACTGCTCTGTGTGTGTGTGTTTAGAAGTTTTAATTGGTTCACCACCACACACATTCTGTGCTTTTATCATATTCTGAAGATGTTCCAGACTCTCAGTCTTACTATTTATTTCTCTGGAGTCTCGCCTTTTCCTGAGAGACTCTTCTGTTTCCCATGGCCTCTTGAATCTGGACTGTTTGCTCTCTAAGCTGCTACATAACTATCATCCTGGACTGTCACTGCTTCCTTAGGTTAGAGCCATCGTTTTCTGGATATTGTGTCTTCCTCTTTTGCTGGAATATGTTCTTAAGTAATTTTCAGAGAAAAGATCAACTTTCTGAATCCCTTCTTTGTGAAAATAACTGTATTTTGCCCTCACATGAATTTGGTTTGAAATTCTGGCACCTGGTGCTTAGGTCAAAAACCTTGGAGTCATTCTCAACACTTTCACTTCATTCCCCCCTGCATTCAATTAATTCATTAGCAAATCTTATCCGATTTTCTTTTAAAATACATTCAAAATCCAGTCACCTCTCAGCACCTCTGCTGGTGCTGTTGTGGTCAGAGCCACCATCACCTCTCAGCACCTCACTGCAGCAGCTACCTATCTAGTTTCCTGCTTCCACCAGTGTTGCTTCTCTGTGGTCTGTTGTCCACAGTCTGGGCTGAGTGAGTCTCTGTTCAAAACTCTGTTGATTTCCCACCTCACTCAGAGTAAAGCTAAAGGCTTTACGGTGTAAGCTGGCTTTTACTTCCCTGACGTCATTGCTTACCATTTGTCCCTTGCTCTCTTTTTTTCAGCCACACTAGCCTTAATATATATTTGTTTAATTAATTAGAACTATGTTTCTTCAGAAATTGAAGACATTGTTCCCTTGCCTTTTACTATCCAGTGTTACTTATAAAAGGTCTGATTTTTGTCCTTTTGTAGGTGACCTGTTTCTTTTTTCTTGGGAAGATTTTTATAATTTTCTCATTATCCTTCATGTTTAGAAATCTCAAAAGATCTGATTGGCTCTCTTTTTATTCTTTGTATTTGGCATTTATTGTTGGGCCTTTCAGTTTGAAGACTATCTCCCTTCAGCCCTGGGAAGTTTTTGTACATTTCTTTGATAATTTCCTCTTCACTGTTTTTCTCTTCTTTTTGGAATGCTTTGTTAGTTGGATGTTGGCTGTTCTGAGTATTCATAACTCTTACATTTTTCGTTTCTTTGAATTTATGGGCTGCCTGGATATTATTTTCTAACCTTTTGAAAAACTTAGCAGTCAAGTTTTTAATTTCCTGGAGCCTTTTCTTATTTGTGTATTGTTCATTTTTAATAACATCCTGTTCTTGTTTTATGGATGTACTGTCTTGGAATCTCTTTAAGAATGCTAATTATGATCTTTGAAATGTTGTTGTCTATTATTAGAATTGTCTTTGTTTATTCTAGGCTCAATTTTTTAGTTCACCTTGATCTTTATTTTGTTGTAGGCTCTTCTCACATCCTGGTTATTCTAGATTTTTCATATATTTAATTAAGAAAGTAGGTTAGAGTAGCTGATATGTATGTCTGCTTCACTTTAGGGTGAGGAGGCTAGAATTGAGTTGGAGACGAGCTGAAAACTGGCCGTTGTTACAAGGAAGACTACTAAAATGCCCTAACAAGGAGTTTTACTTTATGGCACTACTCTGGCACAAACACACAACTATAGTGTTCTGATTCTCCTAGATGGTTCATTCAGTGTTTCTGTAAGGAGCCTTCTGATTATTTTGCTTGGTGCTCAATGCCTGGCACATTATGTAAGACCTTGAATGTCACAGTGATTGAATTTGTCTTTTTTTTTTTTATTGTGGTAAAAAACATATAACATAAAATTTACTATCTTAACCAGTTTTAAGGGTACAGTTTCAGTAGCATTGAGTATATTCACGTTGTTGTGAAGCAGCCCTCCAAAACTTTTTGATCTTGCAAAACTGAAACTCTGTACCCATTAAACAGTAACTCTCCTTTTCACCCTTCCCCCAGTCCCTGTTAACCACCATTCTATTTCTGTTTCTGTGCATTTGACTGCTTTAGATAGCTCATATAAGTGGAATCATACAGTATTTGTCTTTTGGTGATTGACTTATTTCACTTAGCTTGATAGCTTGATATCCTCAAGGTTCATCCATGTTGTAGCGTGTGACAGGATTTCCTTCCTTTTTAAGATTGAATAATATTCCATTATGTGTATAGACCACATTTTGTGTTCATCCATCAATGGACAGTTGGCTTGCTTCCACCTTTGGGCTATTGTGAATAATACTGCTGTGAACATGAGTGTGCACATATCTCTTTGAGAGACTGCTTTCAGTTCTTTTGGGTATATACACAGAAGTGGAATTGTTGGAGCATATGGCAATTTTATTTCTGATTTTTTGAGGAACCTCCATAGTGTTTTCTACAGCTGCAACACTTTACATTCCCACCTACAGTGTACAACAGTACCAGTTTCTCTACATGCCTGCCAACAGTTGTTGTTTTGTGTTTTCATAGTAGCTATCCCAATGGATATGAGATGTGTAGTTGATCATATAGTTGTATTTTAACCAAATAATCTGCTAGCCCTCTGAGAGATGTCTTGGCATAGGGAGTGAGACATGGAAGGCCAGCTTGAGGTGCTTGCATTGGCTTAGGTTTGGAGTAGTGAGGAATTGGTTTAAATGTGGTGGGAAGATTCAATTTTGAGAGAGGTGATGGAAAAATGGAAAGAATTTATTTGAATTTAAGTGAGAAATGATGTGAGAATGACTTTTCATTTTGAACCTGACTAATAGCAGTGTGGTCGTAAAGGGAAGGGAAGAATAATTTATTGATCTTTTGAGTTTTAGATGATGGGAATATTGTTGTGGAAATAAATGCCTGGCAGGGCAGCTAGAAATATGAGAGCATATAATGGGTGAGACAACAGGTCTAGAAACTTGTTTTTGTGAGAGCCAATGGGATGGAGGTAATAGTATTTCCCTTTGAAACATTCATTTTCTTTAGAAAAAATAATCTGATAAATTTTTTTTTCTCAATTTTTTACAGCTCTTGCAAGCTTAGGATATGAAAAGAGCTGTGTGTTGTTCAATTGTGCAGCCTTAGCTAGCCAGATTGCGGCAGAACAGAACCTGGATAATGATGAAGGATTGAAAATCGCTGCTAAGCATTACCAGGTATGCAGAACAGTAGTTTCTACATAATGATCAACACTACATTAGATTAAATTGAAAATAATTGCGTTTAGGTTTATAGATGTTCTTTACCCACAGATATTTTTGGAAAGTAATGTACTTTTTAATGAACTGATTCATATTTTTGAAGCCCTTAGATAAACTGCTCACTCTTGTATACCCAGCACCTAGCACAGTGCCTGGCACATAATAAAGGCTCAATAATGTTGGGAGAACAAATGATTAAATGTTTGAGACGAAATCCTTGGTAAATAAATGACCTCATTTAAAAAATTTGTACATTATTTTAATATATTTTTTTCTTAGAGTGAGACACACCTGAAATTTTACCAGTGTCACAAAAATTAAGACCTCTTGGCAAGAAAATTGTAACTCTTGAGACTTGTGGAGAGGTCATATTTAAATGTGGTCAGATTTGTAATGTTCTTCAGTTAGCTAAATTTAAATTTTAGATACTATCACTTACCAATATGGCATAGTATTTTGTGGCAGTATATTATTTACTCAGCTTTTATATTTTGTTTCAATTTAAAGAACAATGAGTGATTTTTGTTAGGTGGTATCATCTATAATTGTGTTTTCATGTTTTATATTTCTTTATAATTCACAAAGTGTGTTCATGTACATTATTTTACTCTTAGATGAACATGATACATGTTGTATAATGTCATTCTCATTTTATAGATGAGACTAAAGGTCATAAGTGGTAATAAAATGGTCCATTGGGGTTTCAGGTGTTCTCGTTCCACATTTTGTGGTATTCCAGTGGTCCTTTCACTGTCTGCCATGGCTCTGGAATTTGTATCAGAGGTGGAGTCTGAATTTTTCCCATTGTGTAGGGGAGAAGTGAGGAATGTTGTTCTAAGAAAGAAAGAGAAAAATATAAGCAAACAGTATGCTTCAAATTGTGGCTTACCATACGGTTTTGGGTGGTCACAGATGACAGACATGACGCGTATACCTCTTCTTTTTGAGTCCATAAATGGCAAATATTTAAAAATGAGAAAACGAAGTAAAATTTTATTTAGTTAATTGGATGTGAGATCTTGGAGGGCATTCTGAATTATTGAGGACACATTTCATTCTGTGAGTCACCTCTGTGATTCACAGCAGGTCCCTTAGTGTGATGGAAAAAGAACTGGTGGTATTTGAAGACCTAGATCCTTGTTTAGGCTGTTTGCCACCGAGAAGCTATGTGCCCTTGGGTAAATTCTTTAACCTCTGTAGGTCTTCAGTTCCATATTTGTGAATGAGAGACTGGATCCCCTGCTGTTGTACTCTGTGATTCTGTTAGTTTACTAAGCAAGGCCAACTAATCACTCCCTGCAGATATTCTAGTTTTATGATACTTCATGACTACAGGAAACATGACGTTCACTTTAATACAGTTAACCCTGAGTCATCTCTGCGTAGCTTATCTGTTTAACCCACACCTTTTAATCCCGGATTGACATCTTCCTTTTTCCCAGGATCATTTGTTTCATAAAAGCAAAGTTATTTTAGTGTTAACCTCAGCAAAATATAATGGGAAGAAAAATCTGATGGGGAACATTTCACCGGGGAGCTCTGAAAGCCAAAGAGAAATCATTAACAATGAATAGTAATGCTGTTCCTCAGAGGACTGGGTGTCTGTATTATTTGAGGTTTCTCCTAAGTGACATGTTTTAATTATTTGAGAGAGGAATTTGGGACCAAAACGAGCATTTTAGTACGAAAAACATTTTACTAATGTTTTATCCCTGCCTCTATTCTCATTGTTAGTTTTGAGGAAGTATATCTAAAAATAAGTTTAATCAATTTGTCCTATTAATTTACTTTGTTTTTTTGTTGCAGTTTACTTTTAATCTTTGTTAAATCTCCTATTATTCTATAGAATTTTAGAAAAATACCCTTATTGTTTGTAGGTCGGATGTTTTAGATCTGTTTTGCACAGTATAAAAATTTAAATACAGTAACCGATCAACTGAGTTAACATTTGAAATAATTTTGTGTCTAACAGTAGAAAATTGCTGAGTTCCTGGATTTTAAAGAAATTCTTTTTTTCCCTCCTCTAGTTTGCTAGTGGTGCCTTTTTACATATTAAAGAGACAGTTTTATCTGCCTTAAATCGAGAGCCTACTGTGGACATATCTCCGGATACTGTTGGGACCCTCAGTCTTATTATGCTGGCACAGGCCCAAGAAGTATTTTTTTTAAAAGCCACAAGAGGTAATCCCAGTTTGTTCTCCATTTTGTTGCATGTGAAAAGAGGTGATAGGCTTTTAAAATAAGAAAGTGATTAGAATCTAATATGTTCAGTGTAGAGCTTTCTTCTTTGAACTTGACATATGGATTATTGAAAATTTTCAGCTTTCCTTTTTTGAACTTAGGGTGATACAAATGCACATTTAAGAATGAGGGTGTGTTTGAAGTCTTTTATGAAATGGATAGTTAGCTATTGTCTTAAAACAGTGAACTCCAGAAGAGTATTTATGTAGGTTTGTAATATGTCAAAAATTCATTCATTCAGCAAATATTTATTTGTGTGTCAGTCACTGTTCAATGCTCTAGATAAATGGAGTTAGCAGACAAACCAGATTCCTATTTTCAAGAAGCTTACATTTTAGTGTGGGGGAGATGATAAGAAAGAAATTAAGTAGCCAAGGTAATTTTAGAGAGAGATAATTGCTATAAAGAAAACAAGATAGATTCTGTGATAATGGCTGGTTGTCCGGCTATGGGGTAATGATGTAGGGGGAGTCATGCTAATTTTAGATTCGTTAGTCAAGAAGATTCTTTAAGAAGGTCTTCTTTAAACCAGACCTAATTGACAAGGAGCCATCTAGGCAGATGTGAATGAGGAAATAAGAACAGTTCTTTTAAGGCTTGTAAGTTAGTATGAGAGATTGGAATACGGGCTGAATGTGTAAGTGTAGAGAAATTGAAAATAAGGGAGCAGTCATCATGTGGAAGCTATACGAACAGGAATAATTTTTTCTTTTAAAATAACAGCTTATATTGAGGTAGACTTCGTATACAATAAAATTCACCCTTTTAAAGTATGCATTAGAACATTTTGGTTACCCCGAAAAGAAATCCCATACCCACTGGCTGTCACTCTGCATTCTTCTTTTCCCTCAGCTCCTGGCAATCATTAATCTATTTTCTGACTCTTTGGATTTGCCTATGGAATAATTAAGTTTTATGCAGAAGAATTGATTTCATCAGTACAGATTTTTTTTTAGACAAATGTACAAACTTGTGATCTCAATGTCTATACTGAGTTATCATGATATATCAGGTTATTTCATATTTATTTTAATTATAATGGTCAATTTAATATTTTATTCCAGATAAAATGAAAGATGCCATCATAGCTAAATTGGCTAATCAGGCTGCAGATTATTTTGGTGATGCTTTTAAACAGTGTCAATACAAAGATACTCTCCCCAAGGTCAGTTAATTGTTCTTGTAAACACTGGCTTATTTTGCATGTGGAAATATTTGGACATTTTTGTGTACAAGAAGCAAGTTGACAATTATGTTTTATTAAGACATTTGAAATTTCAGGAGAGGCATTTGAAGAATATATTTGTAGGAAGTTTTTTATTTAAGATGCATGAAAAATTCTTTTATATTTAGGGAGTGGCTTTGCCTCTACTCTTTACTAAACTTGTTTTTTCAAGCTAAAACTCTTTCTGGAAATTTTTGAAAATCTGTCTCCAATAATTTTATCAAATCAAGGCATTGTGTAGTTCTGAATCACTGGTGATTTGGTACAAGCATGAATACTTGGCATGTTGATTACTCACACTTTTAATTATTGTCCTGTTTTCTTAAAGATGAGTCTTAAAGCGCAGAAACAGACAGAAAGACAAAAGGAAAAGAAAACTTAAATTCATCCAATGCTTTGATTAGAATTAAGTTTTGCCAACAGGGATAGAAAATTGGGCGGCTATTGGACAGCCAAGGAAAACAACCATCTTAAACCACATGTCACAGGAAGTATTAATTGTTTTAATGTAAACTTTTCTGAAGTGGCATTTGAAAAGACTAGTCAGTGATGATCATTTGTAAATGACAAAGCAGATGATTAGATGAACAAGTAAATTTGGAATGGTTAAAACAGGAAACTTACAGATTGAGTGAGTGAAATGTAGTATGTTTCAACAACTCTCAGAAATGTTCAAGGAATTAGTTTCATTTGTATGATAGCATATGATATTTGCTACATGATCTTTTGTAGGGGAATTTATTGATTTATAAGTCATTCAGGAGTCTTTGTAAATTATGAAATTGCAGACAATTTTGTGGTAAAGTAAAAAAAAAGCATGTGAGTACATCAGCAGTACAATATTAGTTTAGTCAGAAAATGAACAATAAGGAATTAATGTAAAGATTCCTGGAGATTTAAAATATGCCAAGAGATCAGTAGAGATTTGCCCAGGCCTCTTGGGTACAATAGAGTTACTCTTAAAAAGACACTTGGGATCTCCTCTCACCTTTTTTTCATCTGAAAGACCTCACGTTCAGCTGCACAGTGTACTGTTACATCCTGTTGGGCCATTAGTTCAGTCCTGTCATGGAGAGAAGAATGTCACCTACAAAGACTTGGAAACTACTTCTGCAGCATTCCTGGTATTCCTTGAAAATCTCCTGTTTTAATACCAAGTTGCTCCAGCCTTACCTTGAGAACTGGCATGGGTGCAGTTTGAGATTTAGATGTCTTTTATTTTTGCCTTTTTACTAATAAAGCTCATAAGGTATTTTCATATTCTAGTTATAAAACTGGAATATCTGCAAGTAGTGATCCAGGAAGCTAGGAAATTATTCACTGGGAGACAGGAAAGCACACAAGGTAGTAATTCAGTTTTTGATTTTCTAATTTTTTTGTCTAGACAGTGATTGTCTAGTGTATTTCTTGGATTTTGTATGGCATGTGCATCCTAAAAACAGTGAGGTTGCAGGCTAGGATTTGACATTTTGGAACAGCGTCTACCAGTATAACTGCTTGTCTGGTTCATGTTTTTTGGATCTTTTAAAATTAATTTTGACTGGAATTTTTTCCAAAGCAAATTAGGGCAAAATAACACTTTATCATATTAGTCATTAACTTAGTACATTTGTCTGTTTGCTATGTGTTTTTGAGTATATGATACTGAAATGTTAGTGTTTGTATGATACTAAATAATTTTTATATGGCTAAAAATCATCTTTATTAAAAAGTCTCTTAGGATATGAATTTAAGTGGGAACTTACTTTACTGTCTTTTGTCTTTTAAACGTGATGAAACAGTCAGCTATAGAGCAATTTCATTAGTATATGTGAGTAATGGTGGTTTAGTTAACTCTAAGGGCTGGGTAAGGGCTCATACGAAAGCTTCTAAAGCCCTGTGCTTGGTCTTCCTCTGTCAGTGCCCATTCTACTTCTCTTCTAATGCATGCTTTCCTTTCTTCTTTGTAAACAAAATGTTGACTTCATGGCTCGATTAAAGAGAATTGTAAAAACTTAAATTGGCTTCACTTAAGAGTTTAAAAAAAGCCTTAATTTTAATTCGAAGAAAAAGATTGAATTAATTGAATCCAATCCGTGCAAAAGCATGTGGTCTTCTCTGTTTACACCTAATGACTAACCTATCTCTAAACCATTAATGGAGTGATTCTAATTTCTGTCTCCTTTTCCTTTTTCTTCCTGCATCCCATGTTGTCTGTGGTGGTTTGTGTGGTTGGACTCCCCCCTGGTCAGTATTTTTATTTCCAGGAGGTGTTCCCTGTCTTGGCTGCAAAGCACTGTATCATGCAGGCCAATGCTGAGTACCACCAGTCTATCCTGGCAAAACAGCAGAAGAAATTTGGGGAAGAGATTGCAAGGTTACAGGTGAGTCTCTTGGAAATAAATATTTAAGTAACTGGATCTCCTTTGTTTTCTTAGTGAGAGTCATAAAGTGAATTTTGCTTAGTTTGCTCATAAAAACCTTTCCTCTTGTTGCCCTGTATCAACAGTGACAAATGATTGTTTTTATGTTTAGGCTTTACCTACTGAGTGCTTTTTGCAGTTTCATATTTTATCTAAAAACATTCATGCAAAATCTGCATTCAGTTCTCTTTTATTTATCTATGTTTTGTTTTGAAATAAAATATTCTAAATTAATTGCCATGTTCCAGAAAGAATGTGCAGTGCTTAACTTAACGAAGACTTAGCTTTGGTCTAAATTGGGGCACATAATTTCACAGCTTGAGAAGGACAATGGTAATATATATAAATAGATCTTGTAAGCAGCAGAGTACCTTCTGTGCAGTTGTGTCCATACTGTTGGCATTGAGGTGGTCAAAAACTTGCTGTGACATCTGGGGCAACTTCGCAGCAGGGAGAAGGGCTGTTGATACGAGTTGTTTGTATTTTGAGTATTGGTAAGCGGAGGCTAGAAAGAGGACTGTTAAGAAAATTAAAATATGGACTGGATGTTAGAAAATACTATGCAAATATCATTTAGGAAGTTCAGATTAATTAGTCTTTTCATGAGAAAAGAAACCCAAATCTTATAAAAAATAAGATATATGCTTGTATTATATTCCACACTGACAAAATCAGAGCAAGCCATACTTTTTCATAAAACCCTGATTATCAAACATATCTCATTTGTCCAGGAATTTGGTTTGATTACAGTAACATAGATTCTTATATAAAAATGCTTCTGAGAGGAGTTTCTGTGGGAAAGACTTTTCACGCTAGCATATTTAAAGTATTAGCAGTTTAGTTTATTTTCTGGGAATTCTGGGACTATTAGATTGAAGTAAGCCCTTTTGGTCTCGATAAATCAGTCAGAGAAGAGCTTCTTTTGAAATTTTAATCTAATTTTTAAAATTGCCTCTGGAAAAAGGAAGCTATTTCAAACTCACACAATGAGAGAGAAAGACTTTTTTAAGTTATAGACATGAGAGTTTATAGCGTCAGTTTTACAGCTTTAGCCATAGGTCAAAAGTCAACACAGAACACGAACACCAATTCGTATCTCAAAGGGCTGTTGCTTTTTCCAGTAGGCATGAGATTTTTTTTTTTACTTGATTTGAGCTCAGAAATAGGCAAACCGAACAAACAGACAAAAACAGATGACCAAGAAATCATATTCTCAGTAGTCTTTCATTCAGTAGAGTACCCGATGAATTTGATAGAGATCATTCAGTGGTCACACCATTAAACCAGCTTTCCAATCATTCCTGTCAGCAGTGGGAAAAAACTTATTGGTCATGAGCAAACCAGAAACAGAAACAAAATCATAGGGTCAGGAAAATCAAAACAATAGGTAAAATAGCAGCAAAGGTAAAATTACTGATTGGGATTCACTTCTGGAGCCAAGAAAAATTGTACCTGGCCTTATACAGCTCATGAGGTGCACTTGGTGGACAATGTGGTTTATTTGGCTCCAGAAAGGTAGGTCCACTTGATCTTCTTGGTGGAATCTCTGAAGCTGCCAAAGTACAATTTTCAAAAAGTCAAAAATATGTAGATGTAAAAATGTGATTCATATGGAATGTCAGAGATTTGTTTAATTCATTAATGAGGGACTTAGTAAGATGGTAAAACTGATTTTATGAAACTATTGTTTGTTTTCTTGGATATGATAGTAGCTCGTAGGTATTAAGGAGATTGTCCTTATTAGTAGATATTTGCTGAGGTATTTAGGGATGAAGGGTCCTGACATCTGAATTTTAGTTTCATATGGTTTTGCAAAAAAAAAAAACCACAAAGGTACATGTATATGTGTATATATGAGAAAGAGAGATAAAGCAAATATGGCAGATGGGTAACAATTGTTGAGCCTAGGTAGAGGGTCTGTTGTTACTCATTGTTCTAGTCTTTCAGTTTTTCTCTGGGTTTGAAAATTTCTAAAATAAAAATTGGGAAAAATAGGTATATATAAAGGTATACACTTCAACCCATCTCTATACCTTTTCCTTTCTATCCTCTTCCCTTCATCCTTTTTTCTCACTGCCCCAGAGGTAATTTTCATTAGTTTCTTGTTTAATCCTTTCAATGTTTTTTTCCTTTGAAATACAAGCCAATATATAGCACACACAAACAATGCACATTCTTAACTCTTCCCATTCTTACATAAGAGGTAGTATGCTATATACAGTGTTGTATATCTTGCTTTTCTTATATAAAAACATATCCTGAAGATCTCTCCATTTTAATATAGCAATAGAGAGACTTTCCTCATTTTTCTTTAGAGCTGCATTACACTTCATTGTATAAACCATAGTTTATTGCTGTCCCCTATTGCTGGATACTTGTGTGTTTCCAAGATTTGCTATTACAGGCAATACTGCAGTGAATAATTATATATGCATGGCGTTTTGTATTTTAGCAGGTATGTTAGCCTGGGCTTCCATAAGAAAATACCATAGACGGGGTGGTTTAAACAACAGAAATTTATTTTCTTATAGATCGGGAGGTTGAAAGTCTGAGATCAGGGTGTCAGCATGATCAGATTCTGGTGAGAGCTCTTTTCCTGGCCTGCACACTGCTGCCTGGCTTCTTGCTGTGTCCTTACATGGTGGGAGGAGAGAGAGCAAGCTCTCTGGTGCCTCTTCTAAGGGTGCTAATCCCAAACCTCATCCAAACATAATCTTCCAAAGGCCTTGTCTCCAAGTACCATCACTTTGGGGCTTAGAGCATCAATAAAAATTTTAGGGGGACACAGTTCAGTCCATAGCAGCCCATTTATCTTAAATTCCTAGAAATGGGATTGCTGATAGCAAAGTATAATATATATGTAATTTATTATATATTATACTTGGATCTTTAATCCACTTGGAGTTTATCCTGATATGTGATATGAAGTATGGATCTAATTTTTATTTTTCCAAATGGCTACCCAGTTGTCCCCAACCCATTTATTAGAATGACTCTTTACCCCACTGATTTGAGAGTCTGACTTTATCACATCCTAAATTAGTCTTATATATTTGGGTCTATTTCTGAACTTTTTATTCTGTTTCATTGGCCTCTTTATCTGTTCATGCTCCAGTTCCATACCATTTTAGTCATTGACACTTTAGAATGTTTTAATGCCCAGTAGGTATTGTCATCTCTCATTTTCTGAATTTTCATGATTGTTCTTGCTTTATTCTTCTATATGAATTGTATTTTATTTAAATATTTACTATAGAAAACTTCAAACATATATATAAAAATATGAATCATCAAGTATCCATTACTCAGCTTTAGCGATTATCAGTATTTTGCTATTTGTGTTTCATCTATTTCCTCTTCCCCTCTTATTTTTTTGGAATATTTTACAGCTATCTCACATATCATTTCATCCCTAAGTACTTTAGTATGTATCTCTAATAGATAAGGCTAAAAAAAATTAAAACCACGATGTCATCTCATTTAGCAAAATTAATACTAATTAATATGAATTAATAATTAATACTAGTAACCTAACGTTATCCAAACCTGGTTTAGTTTTCCCTGATTTTTTCTAAAGTCTGTTTGCAGTTGGTGTTCAAGTCAGGGATCCATACAGGGTCCTCACATTGCATTTGGTTGATATCTCTTATAAATCTTTAATTTGTAGTGACCTCCCCCCTCCCCACATGCTGTGTTGAATTTTCCTCACTTTTTCTTGTTTTGTGTGTTTCTTACAATGATTTCTGTGATGTCTGTTATCCCTTTCTTGTTCCTCGAATAAATATTCCAGTCTTTCTTTTCTTAAGTGATTTCGTATTTTCTTCACTTTCTTTCCTGAGTTCTGTCAGCTCCTGTTTCACATTCTCTTGCTACCTGGCTGTCACCCACTGTTGTCTGGGCCATCTGGTCCTCTATTCATATTTTGTGTTCTTTCGATACTGTCAACTAATAAGAGGCACAAACTGCAAAAGAAGCAAAAAGTTTATTGGGGTCTCAAGAATTGCAATTTGGGAGTCACAGATTCAAGTAGAAACCCAAAATGTGTTCCGAGGAAGACAGAGGAGGCAGGGGTTTATAAAAGCAAAGGACACAGGCCACAGAGGTTTACGTTGAACAGCTGATGATTGGTTCTGGCGTGAGGTGAGCTGGCTTGTCAGTACGTATTTGGTCCTTGGGTTGTATCTAGGCAGATTGTCCGTTCTTGGAATGAGGAATGCTTCAAAATGTGACCTCTGGTGTCAAGTAAAGTTCAGAAGTTCACTTAACATTTGGTGGATGTGGTGAGTGTGCGTAAGCCCCACTTGCTTAACGGCCCTCCAGCTCCACTTTGGAATCCTTGATGTATGTTACTCCACTTTGTTATTGCTGTCCATGTTACTGTGATTGTGTCCTTAAGTTTTTGAGTTATTTTAGTTTTTTTAGTGTGCTGTTTTCATCTGCTTTGTGGCAGTATTTATTTGGTGAATTTTCATTATCTATTGGAAAGTTACACTGCTCATTTTCATCCTTTTCCTAGTGGTTTCTTTGTGTTGAGGCAGATGAGATGCCTTTTCAGTTACTCGTGTTTGATTGAGTTTGATTTTAGTGGAGGAATAGCAAGGGGTTCCTGGGTGAGGGAATGGGCCCAGGGAGCTTTCCAGGCCTCATTGTGTGAGGGCTCCCTCCACAGCTTCACTTCTCTGGCTCTCAGAGCCTAGCCTGGTTTAGGAAGGATTCCACTTCTGTACCTGTGTTTCTCTGAATTCCTCACAGCCTTTGCTTTTCAAAGGGATGCATCTACTTTTAGAGTTTGTATTTTGTTGATGTTTTCTGGATGCTCACTCCCCGTCATCTTTCTCCTCTTTTTTCAGTCCTCTTTTCTGCTTCCCCACCATTCCCGCCCTCGTAATTAATCTGCCTCTTGCTCTCAGCCGCTTCCTCTTGGGATGAGGCTCCTCAGCACTCCATTTTCCTGTGACACCCCTTAGTGGCTCGACATCTGACATCTCGGGTTTGGCTTGGCTTTATCATTAGCTAGCAGTTGGTACCTCATTCCATTTCATTGTTTTCAGATTTGCTTAAAGCATTTCCACTCAGGATGGAGCCCATAGCAGTCCCCTTTCTCTCCTGGTGTATTCAGCATATCTTAGGGTTCTAGTACCAGTTTTGCTATTTGGGGGAGTGTTGGACCGTATTTACAAATCAAATTTGATTTACAAATTTAAAAAGTGATTTAAATTTGTGCATTTTCCATCTCCTAGTTTACACTGAAGATGTAGGTTTTGTTTGTTTTGGTTATCCTTGTTGCCCTCTGTTGGTTTGTATTGATCTTGCATATATCTTTAAAATTTACTCCTGGATGTTTTGTCTTCTGTTGCTAGTAACTGGATTTATTTCTTTTGTTATCTCTTCAAATTGGTGGTGGTTTATGTGTATTTGCTTTATTGATTTTGTATCTAAGTTACCTCTCTCATTATTTAGAATAGTTTAGTTGATTTTCTTGGGTTTTCCTGGTATACAAACACATCACCTGTAAGTAATTCTTTCCTTTTCTTTTCTAAATTTTATACCTCTAATTTCATCCTTTTGTCTAGTTGTTTTGACATGTTCTATGGTCATGGTGATACTGGTTATCTTTGTTTTATTTCGATTCTAGGAATGTATCTTATAATTTTTGTGCTATGCATGGTATCAGCTTTGGGGGTTAAGATTTTATCATGTTAAGGAACTGGATATCTATTTCTGTTTTACTAAGATTTTTAAAAAATATCAAGAATGAATATTGAATTTTTTTTTTTTTTTTTTTGGTGAGGAAGACTGGCCCTGAGCTAACATCTGTTGCCAATC